GTCATGTTGTGATGGTGTCCCGGTCATGTTTTGATGGTGTGCCGGTCATGTTTTGATGGTGCCCTGGTCATTTTGTGATGGTGTCCCGGTTATGTGATGATGGTGTCCAAGGAAGAGATGGTCGGTGTGTTGAAAACAGCAGCTGTTTCCAGATTTGTCTTTTTGTCCCGGTTTGTATCTTGCTATTGGGGTCTCCAGCTGGGCTAATTCGGAAACTGGTCCATCTTTGGTTTTTGCATCTTTGCAAGATGTTCTTTGTCATGTATTTCCTTCACATCTCCGCTTCTTCAGTAATCTTCTCTTCCAAAGAAAGGTCGTTGCCTTTTTCTTCGTTTTATTTGTTCTTTTTGTGTCTTTCTATTTCTTCCTTGTCTTTCTTTTTTTTCTTCCGTTTTTCTTTCTCGTCTCGCACCTCGCCGCAGGCAGATCTCGAAAATGGCACGCATAATACGTCCAGCAGACTGCTGAACCTGAAAGTGGAGACGTCTTCGCAAAGAAAGAAACGGAAAACGAAAAGAAGCACGGTAAATGCTTAAAGAATTCTTGACAGAGAATTCCATTCTCCACTTTGCCTTCACAATTTTTAGTAAACGCTTACAACGCTTCATTCTCCCTTTACGTGTTCAGTCGTGTTTCCTCGTTTCATTTCTGTCGTGCCACATAGACCATGTCCGACATCAGTGCGAAGCCCTCCAATTTCAGTTTGGAGATGTATGCCTGCATCGCTGTCAATCACAAACAAACAAAGGTGATGTTATAAAAAGGATAGTTTCCCTTAAAAAATACAATAAATAAATACAGAAATGGCATGCAATTTGTTTAAAACATGCAATTTGTGAATTCGACCTGCAGCAGGACATTCACCTTGGAGGATGGCTCATCAGTACTTCCCTTCACGGGCACGGGCACTCGCTCGACCAGTTTCTGCCTCCAAGTTTCAAATGGTTACAGAACGTAGAAAAAGAAGAAGAAGAAGTATTGTTCTTTTGACAAGGTAAACACATAAATAAAAAAATAAAGAATAATGTATTTGTTTTTCCAAAAAACGACGTGTTCAGGTGCGGCTTCACTGTGACGTCAGGGCACATCTCGACTTTCTCTTCTTCACGAACCGGGATGTACTTGAACCTTAGCCAGAGAAGCTTACAGGCGGGGTCGCCTAGAAGCAAGCGCCGAGAAGCTCGTGGGACAAAGAGAAGAGACGAAGCAATTCGATGTCCGACATCATGGGACGAAGGTGATCGTTGTACGTGGCAATGGACGGGTGCTGGATGTAGTAGTGGCCTGGCCAGGAGCCCCTAGTAGCGATGCTAGGAGCCCTAGTAGCGATGCCAGGAGCCCCTAGTAGCGATGCCAGTAGCGATGCCAGGAGCCCTAGTAGCGATGCCAGGAGCCCCTAGTAGCGATGCAATTGTTAGTAGCGATGCCAGGAGCCCCTAATAGCGATGCCCTTGTTAGTAGCGATGCCAGGAGCCCCTAGTAGCGAT